AGTGCTCCCTCCGGTGGGCAGGGTGTCGTCTGAAAGAGTGTTGGCCTTGATGCTCGGCAGTCCCTGGCAGACAAATCGGTTCGACACCGCAAACGTGTCGGAACTACCTGTGTCTATATAACTCACAATGGTCTGGCCGCCAGCCGCTTCGCCGGCCTTGTTACCCCAAGTAACGTTGACGACGGGATAGACACCACTGAAAATGGTGCCCGTGACGGCATTGGTGACCACACCTCCGGACTGCACCGTGTTTGTCGTTGGTCTGTCGCGGTCCCACATCTGCCACCACCGCTTCCTGATTTCTGACGATTCGCGTTGGGCCTCTCTTACTTGAAGCCGTGCCCGTGCCGGGCTGTGGAAGACGTCTGGATTCGGGTGGCTGCCGAGGGTGAGGACATTCTCAGATAATGCATCCGGAATGGCAAGACCCGTATGAGCAAAGATATGTGCGTTGGTAATGCTGTGCGCGGCCGCATCTCGAGTGTGTGGCAGGACACTGGCCGACGCGTGCGATAGACATGCCAACACCAACATCACCAAGTGTGATGAAATCGGTACCATATTCATAGTGTGCAAAATTTCATGGAGAAAGACATAGAACAACGAGATTTCTTCTCGATTTCTTCTCGATTTCTTCTCCGTAGGTAGGTAGCAAGTCCTAAAGATTCAAATGAAAATGTTTTGGGCGTCCGTGGAAGATATTTGATAAATCATCAGGGCATTTCTTCCAGCATTGCATTTGAGTATCTTGGAGAGGACAAGAACGTATCACGCATGGTTCCTTCCCTCAATCACTCAAATTAAGGATCGTGAGGATTGAAAGTCTATGGCAGTTGGAAAGTGGTATTTATTGACTACAAGTTTAGCCGCGATCTACTGCGGTTGTTGCTCCCCATCTAGAATCCTCAGCAAGAATCTTACGGGGTATTGAAACTAAATCATTTCCATTTTCGGCGATCTGTGCACTCATACATATAGCACCCTGCAACGAAGCACTTTATCCCGAAATTCTTCTTCCTGCCTATTACTACGTATACCGTTATAGCTCCAATCCAGCAGGACGCACCAGCATTCAACAACCTTTTTTTTTGGTCTTTTAGTAAAATAGTTTTAAAACAATGCTGTTTATAGCTATAGAATATCTACAATGTTACCCCATACTGAGCAGACTTGACTGATATTTGCCTTACCTAACCAAGGCAACCTCATTCCTGCCAGGGTTTTTTCTTAACTTGCGAATTTTATTTGGCCAATAAATTCGTACCCCGACCTGTTGACGAGTGTGCTGTCGCCCCCTGTGTAGTAATTTAAGCCGGTTGGCGGGCCGCCTTTACGAGCAGGGATAAGTCGGGCCTCTTTGTCCGGGTCCAAGGGCTCAACACAACGGATTTTCAGTGGGAAAAGTAGGACTAATGACGAACTTTTCGGAAGGATAGAAATAGGGGGCTATTTGCTACGGCATACTATGTATCTCATTGAATTTCGCACACAACATCATACTTAGTTTCTGTGACAGTTTATTCCCCAGAGGGTTCTGTCTAGCTAGTCGCCAATAGTCAGGAGTGGCTGAGAAAAGGCGGATAATAACTAACAAACAAACCAAGGCAACCTCTCGTCTGTTCTACGCAATGGTATGTTCATTAAACTTCTTTTTGTTTCCTAAGCTTCGCCCTCTTGTGCCATCACATTACTCATTTCTTCGCCTAGGACATCCACGGCGCTGCTCAAAACTGCGCGGTACTGTTCCCGGTACTCCATGGCCAGGCGTTCCTGGCGCGTCTTGGCCACGTACTCGCCGTCTTCAAGGAGTGCTGCGATGTATGATGGAGGGTCTGTGTCTTGCAGTGTTTCTAAGTCGTTGTCGAATTTCTGAAGTAGAACAAAATGGATGTTACGGCTGTGTTGGGCGAATATTGAACTGCCATCCTCTGAAAACTTCGTCTGGAATACCAGGTCCATGATAGCTTCCCGCAGTTCGGCGAGTGGGACAATGGCATTCACGTCGTCCACTGGCAGCGTCAAGTACTGCTGGCCATGGAACGCGGCCACTGCAGCGCGCTGCAGTGTTTCACGGTCCTCGGGCTTAATCATATGAGACAACATGTCCCATAGCAACCCATCTTCGATAAGGGAAAATCCCGGTGAGCGCCGACTTTCTGGCATCGAGTCGACTTGTTGATCTCGTGGCAACCGGGCACGCCCAACCACGGATGACGGTTCAGCAATGGGGCGGAGGGACAACAGAAAGTCTGGATGGGTGTCCACGTGTCCCGCCACTCCGTCCGAGACACCATGAGCCAACGCACCTCGCTTTCGGAGATGGACGTAGTCGTTGTGCATATTATCCTCCGGGGGTAGGGTAAACCCGTAGCCCACAAGCAGCTCACTGTTCGTCTTCAAGCCGTAGTTGTTGAACACCTCCTGCCCCTGGCCATAAACGGTCCCCGTGTAGAATACAATGGCATGTTCATTTGTGCCACTGGGAGCCGGCGTCAGCACAGTCGAGCTGTTGAGCGACTGTCGTGACGCGTCGACCACGGGCTGCCAAGTAATGCTAGCACGCGGATCGTGGTTTCCAATATCGAGGACCGGGAAAAGAATAGAGAAGTCGTCAGTACCACAGCCTTCTGGCAACCTGGCGTGGTTCACTGCTGCCAGATACCGTGGGTCAATACTGCTTCCATCTTGGGCTGCACCGTTGGCGTCTCGTGTCAAAACGGCCTTGATCTCGTCGGTCAGAACCAGCGACGGCCGGAAGCTGCGGCTCGTGAAGATGCAGTACGCCCACTGGTACAGCGCAAATGTGTATTGGGGGTCCTGTAAGACAGCCCACGCCGCTCTGAACTCAGTATCGATGCGCTGCCTCATCTCTTCGGCCGCTACGTCGGCATTGGTGCCCTTAAGTAAGGCTAGAGCAATATCGCTGCCCTTCTCTTCTCCAACCTTGCGCCATACGGCAGGCAGTGCCCAGGCGTTGTAGTTTTGTGGTTGTGGCAGTGTTGCAATGTAGGGGGCCCAAGCCGAGTCTTGGCCCTTGAGAACTTGCTGCATCAGAAAAAAACGGCCGATGACGTGCGGCGGTACTTGCTGCATAAATTCCGGCGAAAAGGCAGGACGTATAGCACCACCATCTTGTGTCGAAGCCTTTCCCAAAGGACGGCCGCCCCCGAGAGCATTCAAATAGGAGAGTGATGTCGATATCGGGCATACGACAACGGGCTCGTCAGCCTGGACTCCTGCTGGGCTGCTTCTCCGCACCTGAAACGACAGCCCAGAGTCAGCAGTGTTGCGTACATCTACCAATTTATGAATTTGGCCCTGGTGCTCCGACCGAAACCACTGGAGAAGCTGGTCTGTGTCTGGCGTAAGATCCACGTCGAGCAACTTTGATGGCAGTTCATGAGCGCTTCGCATGACATCTTCGGTAGGCTCCATTGCGCCGTTTGTGGACGAATGGCTTAGTTCCGGTATTCATGGGATAAGCCATAGATCTCTCAGCTTCAGCTCAATTTTGTTTTAGCTAAGCCGACCCAGCAGTCCTCGATTGTTTTTGCTTCTCTTTCTGCCTCGGAACATCACGAAGCTTCAGTTTGCGGTAGTAGAGGTCTACCATAACACGTGACATTATGCAAATACTCACGTGATGTTTTCCTCGGACACGGAAAAACCTAAAGCGCTTAGCCTTCTCCGTCTGTGACGTTCCTGCGACTGGCGGCAAATGAGATTTTAATTTCTTTCGCCGCCCATCTCCCCTTTTGACCCCAGCCTTTTTGCGACGCGCCATCCACTTCGACAGGTTTTCTTTCTTCATTTTCTGCCACGACATCTTTTCCCCTCTTTTCTCTTCCTCCTCCAGTCTTTGTACTATGCTCTTTGCTTGTTTTTGAACCCTGACACTTCAGCTTGGTAGTTGTTTTGAGGTCTCCCTTCTGTCCCCATCGCGACGACATCCCTTTTATTATTGTTTCCTATTCTCTATTCTTTACTCGCCAACTCTGTACCTCGTGTGCTTTTACCCCTCCCCACTTCAAGTAGTCTGCTATTGACGTGTGGCCCTCGCTGAAAGACAATATCTGACTCTGTTTCTTCTCTGCTGCTGATTTGCCTGCTGCTTGAACGTGCACTTTGTCGAGATAAAGCTCTTGTAACTGCGGGATATCAACGGCGACAAGCGACCAAAACAAGGACTCTCCGCCTGTCTCGTGCTCGACGTACATGATACCCAACCCACAACGCCACCTCGACTGCATCTGCGCGTGAGAAACCTGCAAACAACCACAGCCTGGAATCATTGCTATTGTTATTGTTGTCGGCTCTTGATTTGTTAATATTGCAAGCCGAAGGACTGCTGGGCAACAAGCAGCGTCTACACCATCAACCCGCACCTTTTGTGCTGTATCTTTAAAGCGTGATTGCTACTACTGGGATCGCGAGTGACTTGGTGCTACATCCACGCGAGCCAAATAGGGCTATTGACCTCCCTGCAAAAACGACGGGCAATCCCGAAGAACACAACGAACAAATCAAAGACCAGGTCATGGCTGACATGACCAATCTCGAGTCCATTCTAGCGACTCTAGGTAAGTGAATGATCTTCTGCAAACATTTCAAGACACGGCGGGCACAATGAATCAAACAATTCATTTTGTGCTGCCTTATCGACAAACTGCTATTATTATATCATGTATCTTGCCCTCCATTTTTTGCTCCTTGTTGCTTTGCTCTCTTTGTTGCAGCCATGTCCTGTTCCTGGGACGCTGGCATATGGCGTGAAATGACTTGAAAGGAGCTTGCCGGCAATGCATTTGACCACACTGATGTCTTCGGATAATTTCTGTATGACGGGTCCTCGCATGGTGCTTTTGTTGCATGTTGCGGGACTGTTTGCTGCCCGTTGTCATGTTTCTTGGTCGGGATCCACTACTGTGCCCGTTTGTCTCTTGTTGTCTCACTTCACGTCGTTGCCAACTTCATAAATTTGTTCGTTTGTCTGACAGTGCATGTGTCCTTTTCTAGCGGCCCAGAAACCTGCCGACTCAAATACGCCGCCGCAAGGCCAACAGGCGTATCCTCCACCACCTGGCACTGCGCCTGGTACGGGTCCTTATGCGCCTTCTGCATCATCTGGCTTTCCGAAGCCGACAACAAGCGGTAGCCTGGACTTGAGTGCGCCGGCCGTCGTAGGCGGCGGCAACGTCAGCATCCAAGAAGCCATTGCGCGTGCCAAGGCCCACGCCGCCCAGAACGGTGTTGCCTCGTACGACAGACCCATCACATATGCACCGCCTCCTGCTACGGCACCACCGCCGCCAGGTGGACCTCCTGAGGGCCATCGCTACCGTAGCTCGCGCTCCCGCTCTCCACCTCCTGCCCGGAGAGGCGGCAACGACTACCGCGAGAACCACAATCCCTACCGCGACGAGCGCCGCGACTACGGTGGCGGCGGCGGCCGTAGCCACCCCTACTCCCCTGCCGGACACCACGGCGACCGTGGCAGCGACCGCCACAACGACTCATTCTCGCCACGTGGTGCCCACGGTGGCCGGCGCGACCGCTCACCTGGCCGTGGCGAGGGCGGTGGTGCGGGCAGCAATTCCGAGGTCATCGAGGTCCAGGCCGGTCTGGTCGGCCTGATCATTGGCCGCCAGGGCGAGAACCTGCGCCGCATCGAGGGCGAGACCCAGTGCCGCGTGCAGTTCTTAGCCCCTGCCAATCAGGAAGACCCGATGCGCCAGTGCAAGATTTCCGGCCAGCCTCCCAACCGCGCCGAGGCCAAGGCTGCCATCTTCAAGATGGTGGACGACAGCGCTGGTCCTGGTCCTGGCGGCCGGTTTGGTGGTCCTGGTGGTCCCCGTGGCGGCCAGAGCGAGCGTATGGGCCAGCAGGTGGTGCCTGGCGAAGGCGAGGAACTTGTCCAGATCATGATTCCGGACCGGACCGTGGGCCTGATCATTGGCCGCGGCGGCGAGACCATTCGCGATCTGCAGGAGCGGAGCGGTTGCCACATCAACATCGTTGGCGAGTCTAAGAGCGTCAGCGGTCTGCGTCCTGTCAACCTTATCGGCGGCCGTGCAGAGACGACGCACGCCAAGGAGCTCATCATGGAGATTGTGGACAGTGACACCCGCAACGGCGGGCCTGGTGGTCCTCCTAGCGGTGGTGGCCCTGGTGGTCCTCCATTCCGGCAGGGTGGTGGCGGTGGTGGCGGCGGCTACGGTGGTGGTGGTGGTGGTCCCGGCGGTGGCTATGGAGGAGGTGGCGGTGGTGACCGTATCAACGACTCTATGTTTGTCCCTGCAGAGGCTGTCGGCATGATCATTGGCAAGGGCGGCGAGACCATCCGCGAGATGCAAAGCAGCACCGGCTGCAAGATCAATGTGTCGCAGACGCCCGGTGCCAACGAGAACGAGCGCGAGATAGGGCTCATCGGTACTCAGGAAGCCATTGAGCGCGCCAAGATTGCCATCGAGGAGAAGGTCGAGGCTGTGCGCCAAAAGAACAGCGGTGGTGGATACGGCGGTCCTGGCGGCGGTCGAGGCCGTGGCCGTGAAGGTGGTGATGGCGGCGGCTACCGTCAACAGCGGGACTACGACAGCCACGGTGGCTATGGTGGTGGTGGACGCGGCGGTGGTGATGGGGGTCCTAGCCGTGGCGGTCCAGGTGGCCCTGGCGGCCAGCCCACCAGCGACGACCCGAATGCAGACCCGTACGCAGCATACGGCGGTTATGCAGCATACGTTGCGCTCTGGTACCAGGCACTGGCTCAGCAGCAGCAGAGCGGCGGCGGTGCGCCCCCTCCAGCACCGGGCCAGTAGATACTGGCATACGCCTATTGCCGTACGACATTTTACGAATCGATCCATCAGTGATTGTGAGGCGATGCAGCTTGTTGTCAACACGTGGAGGGTTTTGGAGGGGGTAATTTGATGCTCTGTTTTGTCATTATGGTATTCTATCACCGGAAAGGACCAAAAAGAAATGGGCATGTTGTTATTATGATACCACCATTAGGGATCTGTATTCTGTTTTATTCTATTTGAGGGACCGCCTTTGAATTTTCTTTGCATCGTTACTTAATATGTAATGTCCAAAGGCAAGACGGCGTGAGGCAAGATGGAGCATGTGAGAAGGAGAACGCCGTTTCAATCAACTGTACTTTGAGAGGCATGGTATTTGTTGAAAGCTTGTGTTCTGTTATTCAAACCTGCCTGTGTCTTTAACCACGCTCTTGAAAGCGGATCTTGTGCATATCGTTCGGCTTTGCATTCTGCTCCTAATGTAGTTCGAAACAACTTTCGTCACTATTCATGCATACCGTGAATAGGCGATGAAAGCACAACGGCTAATTCGACTCTTGTACAAAACGTGGCTGCCGCCCGCGAATGTGTTCCATGTCGAGGTCATCCCACCGCCCGTTACGCTTCGGGTCCAGCTTCCGCAGTTGCGCCAGCCACGCTTCAACGTCTATCCGCTCGTTCTTGGCCAGTGGCCGCTCCTCCATCTTCGCGACGGCCAGCGTGTATTCAAACAGCGCTTCGTAGATCCACTTTACGTCGTCGTAGTCGGAGAGCAGATCGCGGATGTCGTCGAGTTCGCGCGCAATGTATGTCATGCGCTCTTCGAGAGACAGGTCCGGCACGATCGTCGGCCGCCCAACGTATTCGGTTAGGTTGAGCATGAGGAATTGGTGGTAGAACCAGAGAGACTGGTCTTCTGGGCCTACGTTCAGTGCTTCACGAATGATGCCCAGTTCTACAAGATGTGTTAGCAAAGCGGGACGAATAGGGGCAGCAAAGCAAACTAGCCACAGCTTACCCTCTTCCAAAAACGCCTTGCGCGCCGCATCGTCGGCATTGCGCTCTGCCAGCAGTCGAGGGATGAGTTTGCTGCGGTTGTGCCACGCCGAGAAGTTCGACAGGTCTTGGTGGATCATCTTGGTGGTGTATGCAAACTCGGGCTCGACCAGGCTCGTTGTCGTCGCGCCACCGTCGAGGCTCAGTTCCTTGCTCTCTAGCCGCTCAATGACTTGCCGCCGGTAGCCCCAGGCGTGGAAGTTGCGACGATCCTTGGTCAGCATCTTTGAGTCCAGTGCCAACTCCTCCTCCCAAATGCGCCGCGCGCGAGCCACATCGAGCCTTGCCACGGCCTGCTCGAGGACCCACAAGCGGTAGCTCCAGATCCAGTAGCACTTGGGAAACTCGAGCAGCAGCGGGATAGTAAAGTGCAGCTCAGATACCAGGACGTCAGTGTCGTTCTTTCTTTGTGCCTCTAGATCTTGGTCTCCCTTGCTGTGTGCTTCGTCTTCACCCTTGACCCCTTTATCAGGTGAGGGCGTTGACAAGTCCGTCTGCGTTGACGGGCTGCTCGATGGGATCGCGGCCGAGGAAGAACCGGACGGCGCGGCGGACGGCAACGTCGAGGTTCCGGTTGGAGACGTACTCGAAGACGCACCCGAGGACGGCAACCCAGGCGGCCGTTTGGACAACAAGGAGGAAGTTAGGCAGCGCCTGCGGACGTTCCATACGGTGTAGTATTCGGGGTTCAGTCGGAGAAGCTTCGTGGTGTTTTGGAAGACGGTCTCGTCGTAGGTGGGCTGGTGGCGTGTCAGCGGTCGCATGTCAAATACATCATCGCTCACTCATTTCCATGCTTGTGCTATGCATACACTTGATCGTATCTGTTCTTCCAGTTCGCGGTATTTTTGGATTTTTTCCGAGTCGAGTCGCTTCTGCTCGTCCGTTCGTGTCCGGGGCCCGCGGGGAACGCCGTGCTGCAACTAGAGTCAGTAACGGTAATCAGGAGGAAGCGCAGAGATAGTGCCCGAACATAACGTCGGCAAACATACACTCGACATATTGGGCCTCGTTACAGGATGTCGTGAAAACGTCCAATGTACTGGTATTTAGATTACCCTTGCTCCTGCCTCAAAGCCAAAGCCTGCGAGCGCGTGTCCTTTGATCGACCCCGCCGAGTGAGGCAGCAGCGACCGGAGCACGGAGCGATTTCAAAATCCTAGCGTTCAGACGAAAAGTGGGGAATTTGAGCTACTCCGTAAGCAGCACGTGCAGCACTTCTGTGTAAGTCAATGTCAAGATCAACTTCACTTTGCTCTCAACTTCTTCTCACTTTTTGGTAGTTTGCTTATTTTTTTTCCTTTCAATTCATCTTAACTTTACCAAAACAGTTATCTCCTCGTAGCCTCTACCTTGGACCATTAATCCTTTATTCTGCCATTGACAGCTTGGTAGCATCCCGCGGCGCCTGGGCTCAGTTGGTAACTACTGTTCCAGACGAGTAAAGATAGACAATCGTTTAAGAAGAAAATAAATAAAAATTCACTTTCCATTAATTCCGTTTAAATAATATTGCAGTCCTTTATGATGAAGACCTACACATGATTCACCAGCCGAAATGATAATGCACTTGCCTCCGGCGAACTTGCCAGGTCGGCGGCACCTTCCGTCTTAACTTACCAAGCTCTTTCCAATTCATGTTTCTTGACGAGGTTGTTGGAAAGAACTACGTGGAAGGCACGCCACGCTCTTACGAGGCGCACCTTCTCCACGTACCTTTGACATCTTTCCATCGTTGACCACTCAACAATTAGCTACCTTCCGGCTCGTCTGCCCCAGCCGTTCCCCTTCCCTCTTCTGCATCCCTATTTAGTATCTGCTATTTTTTGTCACCTAGAACCTCGTCTTCCTCATTCGCCATTGTTTTTGAATCCCTTCGTGGGAATCCACTGCCCGCGGCACAATATATCATTACGGGGCCGAACGTCGACCACCTCAACAACTTGGCGGCCAGCAAGGCATCGTTGAGACACATCACTCTTATTGTTCAGTATCTTACGTCTTGACTTCCATCAAGGCGCCATCCGCCACGATCATTCTTCGTCTTCGATGCACGCAAGAATGCATTGAGTGCTTCCCGTGGTTTGGTTTATTCCTTTTTATTACTTCCTTTCTTCCCTTTTTGTTGGCACGCTGGCCCGTCTGCCGATCGTCAATTATTCTTTACCTTTTATCTTTCGCTATCGATCTACACCAAATTCCTTCCTTGGCTTTTATTTTCGTTCCCGTTCCTCCTGAGAGGAATCGCGCCGGTAACGCTTCTCGCGGCATCTGGCTCGCCATCGTTCCGGTATCAGTTTCGTTTTCCTTTTTCCTGTTGTCGTTCCCCATCAACCTGTCCCTGCCAACGCCGACCAAGAACTCATGGACGGAACACTGTACAACCGCAACAATGGACATTCCCAGCGCTTTCACGACCTCCTTGACGTCCCTGCCCATTCGTTCCATGACGCCAGATATGCTTGTAGCGTCGCAGCCGTCGACTCCTGGGCCATCGCCTCTCGATTCGGGCTACGTGTCACAGTCGAGAACTCCTAACAAGCTGTCTACACCCAGTGAAACTTTCGACTTTGGCGGTTCCTACACTCTTGATAGAACCACCGGAGATCTGCTGGAGAAACTAGTCAGAGACGAATCTGACGAGTGTCCCCGCTCGGCGTTTCTCGCACCGCACCAAGCCCTTCTCAGCCAAGCCAGCATCAGCCTCAAGGCCAGCGCAAGCAGCGCAAGGCCGTGCAACGTCAGAGCCAACAGTACCAAGGCAAGCAGTGTCCGTCAGCTGCATATAGCACGCGGCAGTCTTCCTTCTACGTTCTATTCGAAGACCATTCCCAGAACGACACCTCGCCCCAGTTCTGAATCTCGATCATCGTACCTGGCATCCGGCCCGTCTGCAAGCTCCGTCCGCGCTCCCGACCGTTTTGTCCACCCTCGCGACTCAGAATGTGCTGCTTTTCCCATTAGCGAGAAGTTTCGGATGACCAAGGCCTCAACTGACCTCAACCCTGTCGAAAAGATCCTTCGCCGTGGTATGATCTCGGCGGATGCCTTCTACGCCACGCAGACCCATCCAAATCCTATCCCGACATTTGCAGATGAACGCCAAAACTTCCTCCATGTGGCCGGCCAGCCAACCCAAACAAGAGCTGGGACCACTCTAGATACCGGGAACATGGGTGACGACCCCGGCATGGAGTTCCGGCGGCGTCTCACCCGTGGCTCAGTCTGGTCTATTAGTACCATACCACCTACAACCGGTGCCATCGACAACGGCAATGGCACCCTGACACAAAGCGGCACCAGCTCTGTACCGTTTATCACGTCAACATTCACAGAGGAGGGGCCCCGCTATAGCGCCTCTTACTGCGACAAACACCCCAGTCGCCTCGCTGCCGCTTTGGATTTTGACCGTGCGTCACGACTTATGCAGTGCAATGTCGATAAGGGCGTCTTCAAACTGCAGTCCCACGACAACCTCATCGTTCCGACCACAAAGCGGAAGCTGCTTCCCAAGTCTCAGAAAACGTCATGGAACGGTACTATCTGGGTCAATGATGGCCTCGAGAAGAGTTAGTAAAGTCCTTTTTTAACATTATGTTGTCCTACAGTTAGTCGACATCTTTCTAACTTACCTAAATAGAACCTGCCAAGATCCCTGAGAAAACAGCCTGGGACAGGAGTCCAATACGGTAAGTCAACCATCTGCTAGAATATTACCTGTCCCTGCCCTACGTAGAATGGCCGTTGATATACTTCTAGCATCTTATCTGCGCCCAAGTTCCGAGACGACTTTTACTGCTCCCTGCTCGCATACTCGCCAACCACTGACACTGTTGCTGTTGGACTTGCCGATTTACTCTACACATGGTCTGAAGTCGGCGGTGCTGCTCATTTGAATGGCAGTGACAGCACGCGCGTGTGGCTTACCTCCTTGGCTTTCTCGTCGGTGGAGGGAGGCAAATGCATCCTTGCGTTTGGCCGCTCCAACGGCACGTTCGGGCTCATGGCCATATCGGAGGCCAACAACACGCGCATGGTAGTACAAGAGACATCCGCAATCTCCTGCTTGAGCTGGCGGCCAACCTGCACCATGCGGCCGTCTCAGAATCCCAACAAGGAAAATGTTCTCGTCAGCACAGAGGATCTGCTAGTCGGCACAGATGCTGGCATCGTCCTTTACTACGTCATTGAGTGGCCGGATACGTCTGAAATCGACGAGGACAATTGGCAAGGCGATATCACACTTGTCTCTCGCATCAATGTTCATGACCAGCAAGTGTGCGGCCTTGCCTGGGCCCCCAACGGAGAATCCTTCGCGACAGGAGGCAACGACAACAACTGCTGCTTCTTCTATGTCAACAATGTCCTGCCCCCATCCTATCACAAAGGCGGACATGAAGGAGTGTCCAATAACCTCCCCTTCAAATCGCACTACTCGGGCATTGCCGACAGTCGTCTCACTGTCCAGCTTTCAAATGGTAGCGAAGTTCGAAAGCGGGCCAATAACAAGGAATATGAGCACCGCGGCCCTGGTCGTACAGAAAGTTGGCGCTGGGAGCATGGTGCGGCTGTCAAGGCGATCGCCTTTTGTCCTTGGCAGGAGGGACTTGTGGCCACCGGCGGAGGTTCCAACGATCGCTGCGTCCACTTCTTCCATACGACGTCCGGCACCCCCCTTGCCACCATTTTTGTTTCGTCGCAGGTGACCAGTCTCATCTGGAGCACCACACGGCGAGAAATCGCAGTCACGTTCGGCTTCGCCCATCCCGGTCACGACATCCGCATCGCCGTCTACTCCTGGCCCGAGTGCAAACAGGTGGCTGCTATTACATGGGAGGGTAAGCATCGCGCCCTGTACGGCATCTCGTGTTCACAAGGCCGCCGCTGGGGCTCACAGCAGTCAATCATTAAGAATAAGAAAATGAAAGAAGGCTGCATTGCCGTTGCGTCCAGCGATGGAAGCATCAAGTTTTACGAGCTGTGGCCCGACGATGGCAAACCCATCATTGGCGGCGTTGGCATGCTCGGCGGCAGCGATATCTTAGAGGATTTGGAAGGCATTCAGAAAGAAGGTGACATCATTCGCTGAGCTGTTCCTGCGCAGCACTTCTTTTATCATCTCATCCGGGTCTGGCGTCTTCTTATTCCTCCAACTTATTTTGGCCTCGCCCGACAATATTTTCGGCTTTTCTTATTTTTGCGGGCATCTTTCCGTTTCACTTTCGGGATTTCGTTTCGGGTTTGTGCTCAAAACAGGACTCGGCCCTCTCTGTCGGAATGGAAGTGCGTCGGTGTGGGATATCGTGAGACACAAGATCATCGATGCTTGCGACTTGCAGCTTTATTCATTCTCATTTCGTTCATCATTGCGGGATATTCTTCTTGCTTCGATTCTTCGGTTTCATTCTCGTTTGTCATCCAGTTTATTGTCCCTTCCGTGTCCTCTTTTTCGTACGCAGTTTCTTTTTTTCTTTGTGTTTACCCCTGGGTTATGGCCATGTCAGTGATGACAGGATGGTGTTCTTTGGGGGTGAAAATAACACCACAGCTTCTGTAGAGGCTTAAGAAAGGCATATATGGCATACGTCAAATCTCACCTTTGTCCTAGAACCCACAAATACTACCAATGCACATTATAGTTTTCGAATAGAGTATGAGGTACAAAAAGGGGCAGCGAACATGTATACAACAGGTGTCCGGAAAACAATAGCGCAAGAACATCTACTATTACTGATCTAAAGAAGTCACAAATAAGTGGGTGAAAAAGAAACGACATGAGATTTAAACAAAACAATCAACAGCTGAAAAGCACATGTATCTACAATGAACTTGAAGCATGCAGCCCAGGCGGTATACAAAAGAAAATGGAGACGAAACCGAACATGACAACAAAAAAAAGCACAGTAACACAATCCTCGAACGCCGAAACTATGCCGACCGCTCAAAGTCGATAATTAAACAGAGACAAGCAGGAAATAGCAAGGGAAAAGGGCAGAGACCAGGACCAGGGCAAGAACGGGGTGAGGGGGAAGCAGACAGAGAGCGTTCTGTTGTTGCGACGTCTCACTTCAGGATGGCAATCAGCAGGATCAGGATGATGATCAGCACCACAATCGCCACCATCTGCTTGCAATCGCCAGCTGACCTGGCAATCTTGCCGACCTGCCGCCGTGCCCGGTCAATCCGCGTCTGGTGCTGGTCCGTCAACCGCTCGCCCTCCTCCAGCATCGCCACGTGGCTGTCCAGCTCGTCGCCAATCATCATGCTCAGCTCCCGCTGCCGCCCAATGCTCACACCCAGCGCATCCAGCTGTGCGTCCTGGTCGGCAATGATGCTCGAGTGCATCTGGTGCAGCTGCACATTGTCCTGGTCGTCGTACCGGCCCTCCTGTGACGAGGACCCGCCGCCTAGGCCGCCGTCGGCATCCGGGTCGTCTGTGTAGGGCCGGTTGAACAGGCTGTTGCGCTGGGCTTCGAGGTCGACGGCGTCGCCGTCGGTGCCAGGTGGCGGAAGCGGCTTGTCCTTGAAGCGGACGGCCTTGTTGGTGTTTCCCGAGGAGGCGCCGGCGCCGCCGCGTTTCGGTTTGATCGAGGACGACGTGCCGGCCGCCGAGACGGGTGCGGTGCCGTTGAACTGGGCCGTCAGCTCAGTGAGTTTCTTTTGGAGGCCGGGCAGTGCATCGCCGATATTGAGTGCTTTCCTGTGAATGGGTGCAGTCGCGTGAGCACGGACCATTGTATATCTAATGTCTGGACATAGGGAGCGCTTACCCTTCCTCTCCTTGACTCTCCAATCGGGCCTGTTCGGTCTTCAGGCTGGCGATGCCCTCCTCGAGCTGGTCGAGCGACCGCGCAATGTGGCCGTCCTGGGCGTCGCGCTCGGATGCGCCGGCTGACGAGTCGCCCGTGGCAGCAGCATCGTCTCCATCGTCTTGCAAAAGGTTCAGTGCTTTGGATCGCTGGCGCTCCAGAAGTGATAGCTTGATGTGGTCGGCAAGGAGATACAATGCGTTCGGGTTCGACATTGTGAAGGGCCGTTCGACGTGACCAGATAACGAGAATGGATGCGGAGTGTGGAGCGTTGTTTCGCGCGAACCGATCACAACGATGGGTGATGGAAATCAAAATCGACGTCGAAAAAATGCAAAATCGAGAATCGCAACGCAAAAGGGGATGCGGAATGGCAAATGCAGGCGCCAAACGTGAAGTCGATTGGCGATTTCTGATGACGGATAATTGCGAATGCGAGACAAGAACCATGGGGATCTGGGCCTACGTCGTAGTGGTGCAGATTACAGAGCGCCTTGTCCCCTCTTTTCTTAATGCAGCCGCGCCATTACTCGCTCGAGACACAGGGGCTGGTCGCTATGTGGCCCGTCCTCTCTAAATCCCATTTGGTCGCTGCCTTGGGGAGAAGCGTCACGTGACCATTCTTTTGACCTCACATCTCGACAAGATCATACTGCAAATTATCTTGAATGTAAGTTGTATTGAAGGGTTTACTGTATTTTGTACATAAAAGGTAGACATTAATGATTCTTTGATTTTTTTATCATGTTTTGCTTATTTGTTTTTGTAGAAAAAACATCATTTAAAATTATTATAGACATGATAGATGTTTTACATTCATTCATTTCGCCGTTGCGGAGTCGTCACGCTATTAAAAGCCGCCGAGGGATCTGTTGGCTAGTTGGTGGCCTAATATATTGCGGCCAGTCTTTCCCGTTTAAAAAGATTCATCCTCTTTATCTGTTGCTATGAACTCATCTGCTTATACAGTTGCTGGACATCTCTTGCTAAGCAGTCCAACAGTGGCTGCCATCCATATAAGGTGACGACAGCTGAAAAAAGCATGTCGTGATAACTGTATCATGAATTGTAAAGTCTAGGTGTAGCGGGCGGAACGTAAAGGGGTGTAAACAAGGTATTCCAACCAATTTCAAAGATATCCAATAACAAAATGCCAAACTAAGCTAAAACACCAATCTAAGAAAGTAACACCAACCATTAACGATTACAGCCTGCGAAAGCTCGCTCTGTCTCTGTTTCCAGCCCACCCCAGTAGGCCGCTACTACTGCCGGGCCAGCCACGTGTCTTTGATGATCCGCCAGTACCGCTCCGGATCACTGCGCGCGTGTGACACATGACCGCTGTTGGGAAACTTGGCCATCTGGTCAACCGTGAAGCCGAGGCCCGTGGCTTCGTTGGCATGCTCCTCGACGTCCTTGGACAGAATGATCTTGTCCTCGTCGGAATACAGATACGACCGGCGCACCTCGCGGCGGTTGCCGCCAAAAACGGTGTTGACGTTGTGGGGCGTCCAGGGGTTCAGTGCGCGCTCGGGACCGGTCGGCTTGGGGGAGGGCTGTATGCCAAAGAGGGCCTGCAGGGCGGAACGGGTGGCACCGTCGAACCAGGCAAGCAGACGCTCGATGCGAATGCGGACGAGCATGCTGTAGACGAGCAGATAAATGGCCGGGTACATGACGAGCCGCTTGGCCAGGGGCGCGCGGTTGAGGCCAGTCGTGAAGGCAGTGGCCGCGCCGGCGAAGCGGAAATGGCCCGGGCTCGAATCAAAAATGGTGACGTGAGGCGGCAGGCAGCGGACGTGGTCCGGGTCGATGGCGTTGTAGATCTGGCCGAGAATCAGGCAGCCGCCATTGGACAGCGTGTGGACGAGCACTTGGGGATGGGCATTGGCGGAGCCGGCGGGAGAGTCCTCCTTGGGGGTGGTGTTGAGCGAGTCGCCCAGGATGTCGTTGATGAAGGGCACGGCGGTCTGCGCGACGGCCTCTGCCTTGGAGTAGGACGACGTGGTGTCTTGGTGGCAGAAGACGAGGAGAATGGCTGGGCGCTCGCTGGGGTCTTCGCCAAAGACACCGTCGCGGTAGGGTGCAAGGTACTTGGCGACGTGCGGCGGGCGAGCACCCATCCAGGCGGTGACGATGACGAGCTTGGGAGCCTTGCGAGGGCCGGACGCAGACGTTGGGGGCGGGGCGGACGTGGCTGTTGGCGGGCGGTAGATGTAGACACTACGCGTCACTTTCTCCATGAAGCCAAGCGGGTCGACTAGTGCCGTCGTCTCGGCGCCGGACTCGGGGGTGGCGGACATGTTGATGTGTGCGTGAGAGTGTGCTTGAGAGTGGTGTATCGTGAGAGAGGTGCGGTGATTGTTGACAGCAGTTGGTAACCCTGGCGAGAAGAGGAAGCGAAAGTAAAAAGGAAGCAAAGGGAAGAAAAAGAACCCGCTTGGACAACGTGAACTTGAGGACATGCTAAGGCTCCAATTTAAGTATCTGAAGACCGGCGGAGTCCCTGTTTAGAGTCCGAAGCTGACGGCGCGACCGGGAGCGGCAATCTGACCGGTTCTGTGCATGTAGTTGCTTCCTGCCAGGGGCATAAGGAGGCTAAAGTTAGTTAGTGCGCAACACGATGGTGACAGTTTGGTCAGGTTTTGGCTGTCAGCCCAGCTGGGGACCAAGGGACCCTCTTTTCTGGTCGCTTTGCGCCCTGTGCCTTACGCCTTGTGCCTTTCCGTGCCAACGGGCAAAATGGCGGTTCGCAGCCGCGCCTTTGTACCATTGTACAGGGTTCGGGCCAGACATCGATTTCTTTGACACGTACTGGCACGCACTGGGGAAGTGACGAAGATCAAGCCTGTGACCATGTAGCGAAGGTCACGGTAGCTGCTGTCGATGGCCGTCAGCATACGTCGGCCGCGCTGAGAAGCGTCGAATCTAACATTTAGACAATTGCGGAGTACCTGTCCATTGTAGACCTCGTTTAGTCGTATGTACGTCTCATATTCTTTCTGGCTGACATTTTTTGTGCCTCACGTTACTGCAACAGTGCAGGGAAGAAAGATGCAACATTCAATGAACCAATACGTCGTAGGCATCGGTGGTCAACAACCGTTCTTCGGCAATTTGTTGGGGGCCTCGGGAGAGCCCTGTCGTTTATTCTTGATTAGTATTATTGATCGGTTTCCCATTTCTGGCAAATAGAGGCCTGCTTTCTCTCTCCTCCTTTTTCTTTCTTTTTTCTGGGTCCCTTTACTGGACTAACCCTCCCTTAGCCTTGCGTCGTGGC